TATACACACAAAGGTTGGCGTTCAGCCAACTGAAATATTGGTAAAAAAATGATATTTTGATCCAATATATGCCTTTTTAATTAAATATTTATTTTAGAATTGCTCTATTTTCAAAACATACAAGGTATGTCCCATAAGTTCCCGGACTGGGTCCATAAAAAAAAAGGTAAGATTTTTTTAAAATTTTTTTATTAAAACTTTTCAAAGTAATCCCCCCTTGCTTCAACGCACCAGCGCCATCGTTTCTCCCAATTGTCGAAACAGTTTTTATAAGCCTCTTTTGGAATGCTCTTCAATGCTAACGGCGATATTTCTATTATGTCATCCCTGGTGTCGAAATGTCTTCCTTTTAGAACTGCTTTAAGTTTGGGGAACAGGAAAAAGTCATTTGGTGCGATGTCTGGGAAATAGGGTGGTTGAAGTAGGATTTGTGTCCCGTTTTTCGCCAAAAAGCTAGTCATCAAGTGCGCTGTGTGAGGGCGAGCATTGTCATGGTGTAGGATCCAGCCACCATTAGTCCATTTTTCTGGCCTTTTTTTTCGAATCGCTTCCCTTAGACGGCGAAGAATGCCCAAATACATTTCCTTAATAACTGTTTGGCCTGCAGGAAGATACTCGTGATTTTTATCCGAAAAAGCGACCAGCAACACCTTGTTTCTGGATTTTTTGGGTCTAGGCTCACCCTAACCTCTCCACACGGCAGATTGAGGTTTGGTTTCAGGGTCATAGCCATAGACCCATGTCTCGTCGCCTGTGATTATCTTGTCTTTCCATTCTGGATCCGTTCTTGTCATTTACATCATGTCCTCACAGGTTGCAAGCCGACACAGTTTTTGCTCATTGGTGAGGAATCTTGGCATGAATTTTGCAGGAGTCTTTTTGAGCTTCAAATCTTCGGTTACAATCCTTCCAATCGTTGTTTTAGAGATGCCTGTGTCTTGCTCTAGCTCCAGCAAAGTGGTTCGAGGATTTTCTTTTATCAAATCGGTGATTTTTTGCACATTTTCATCAGTCCTTTGAAATTTTGGGCGTCCTTGACGAGGATCATCTTCAATGGAAATTCTGCCAGCTTTAAATCTAGAATGCCATTCAAAAACAGTTGTTCTCTTTGGGGCGTCATTGGGGAATGCTTTATTAAGCATTTCAAAAGTTTCGGTTGCTGATATTTGAAGTTTCACACAAAATTCTATGCAAATCCTCTGCTTCAATTTTTGTTCCATCGTAAAATCGCCGCAGCGCTAGGTGTGACCTTTAAATAAATTAGAATAACCTTGGCGCGCGCGCAAGTACCGCCTCGATATTGGTACCACCGTGTAGCCAGATATTTTTTCTATAATAAACAGTCAAATTCATTTGCATTTTTCATTTATTTATTTTTTTATGGACCCAGTCCGGGAACTTATGGGACATACCTTGTATATACACTGCGTGACATTGAAAATGGAACACCAAGAAATAGTGGCCAGAAAATTATGCAAATTTCAGGGTAGACGCGCCTAACCGAGTTATGCAAATGATGTAAAATGCGCAGCTCTCGTGCGCACATGGAGTAAGATATAAGGGAAGGAACTTGCAGAAAGGACAGTATTCGTGTCGTTATTTCTTCAAGGAAAATCATTGTAGAAATTTTGTTCTTGTGTCAAAAGACACGTGTAATAACAGAGAATGCCAGGTCATCGTAAACGGAGGCAGTTCAAGCAGACAGGCTTTTACGAGGGGCATGGTGATCGGACTGAAAAGGGCAGGTTGGTCCATACGTCAAATCGCAGCTGATACACACCTTGGTGCGTCCACGGTGCACCGACTGTGGAGAAGATGGTTGGAACAAGGAAATGTGGCAATTTATAGGAATGCCGGTGCAACCAGAGTGACGTCAGCACGTGTGGATCGGCGTATCCTTCGACAAGCAGTGGCGGCCCCACAAGCCACTTGTACCGCCATCCTGCAACATGTGCAAGACACCCTAGATCATTCCATCTCGACCAGAACCATTTCCCGTCGATTGGTTGCTAATGGCTTGCACTCATGCCGTCCGCTAAGAAGACTGCCATAGACCCCACCGAATAGGCGCCAACGTTTGGAATGGTGCCGGGCTAGATCGACGTGGATGACGGAATGGCACAGGGTCGTGTTCTCAGATGAGTCGCGTTTCTGCTTGTCCATTGATAGTCGCCGTGTACGCGTGTGGCGTCGACGTGGAGAAAGGTCCAATCCGGCAGCAATTGTGGAACGCCCCACCGTACGACAACGTGGAATAAGATCAGTAAGAACGCCCGTTGAAGAACTAATAGTTCGAAAGCTAGCGTCCGTTATTTGTAATAAAAGATACTAATTGCGAGAGGTTTTTTGTCTTTTGGATTAACAACCAACGTGGAATCATGGTTTGGGGCGCAATCGCGTGTGATTCCAGGTCACCTTTACTTCGTATTCAGGGCACTATGACGGCCCAACGATACGTTGATGATGTGCTGCGACCGGTGACACTCCCCTACCTTCAGGGGGTACCCAATGCCCTTTATCAGCAGGATAACGCCCGACCGCACACTGCTCGCATTAGCCAACAAGCTCTGCAAGATGTACAGATGCTTCCCTGGCCACCGTACTCTCCTGATCTCTCACCAATCGAGCACGTCTGGGACATCATTGGACGCCGTTTGCATGCCTTGCCACAGCCGCGTTCAGAAGACGAACTGTGGCAAATGGTTGAGAGGGAATGGAGAGCCATCCCTCAGGACGCCATCCGTACTCTGATTGACTCTCTACCTAGACGTGTTGCTGCGTGCATCGCCGTCCGCGGTGGTCCTACTTGCTACTAAGCCGACGCCGTTCTCGCTCTGTATTATGACTATCATTTTGAAATAAAGATCACTTATTGTTCGTCCCTGTCTCTCTCTGTCTGCCGAGTTTCATCACTTTCTGGCCACTATTTCTTGGTGTTCCATTTTCAATGTCACGCAGTGTACATATACACACACATATATATATAATCCAATCAGCTTGCAATGTTTTGTTTATCTCAGTAGTTGCATTGAGGAACAAAGTACTATATCAATTAACAGAGCTTATATACAAATATAAAGTATATTAATATACACTATTGACTTTATATACTAGTAATTAAGTTTATATTCTTCATGGCTATAGAGAGCATCTTAAAAAAACTAATTTTTTTTTCTTCTTTCTCTCTACAAATTTTAAAAATCTAATTGTGAGAGGGTATATGCAATTAAGAGTTCATTATGTGTAAAAGAAAAGGTTTTTAAAGTAAAATCTCAAGGCCTATCAAATTTCTATCAGACTAATTACGTTATTGGATGAAAAATCTTCTTTTCTGACGTCTGCCTTTAGGCCGGCCGGTTGTTTCTAATTTGGTTTACCACGTTGCTAATGAGATTGCTACAATATCGTCTTTTTATATGTGTGTGAATTTGTATTAGAAATTAATAATCTATTTTTAACTTCCTTAATAAAGGCTTGGATACTCTGACAAATGGATATTAATGAAGACAAGGAAGTGTGTAAATTTAAATTTTTTATTTTTTGAAGTTATTTTTTTTTAAATAGAGATATTAAATTAAGTTTTGACACAATCTTCTTATAATTGATTGAATCAATATTGTTTTTTTGTATTTTTATTTGAAAAATATTTTTTCGTTGTTTAAGTAGAAATATTTTGGTTAAATATTAATTGAACATACAACAAATAGCGTGAAAAAATAGTACAAATGTGATATAAAGGTCACTGTAATATATTTCAGAGTTATTATCTGAATCCTGATATATACATGCTGAAAGGTACGACTTCCTTAAGTTTTGTCCATGAGTGTATATTGGTTATCTCGTGTATCTTCAATAAAGGTCACTGTAATATCTTTCAGAGTTATTGTCTGAATCCCGATATATATGCTAAAAGGTACAACTTCCTTAAGTTTTGTGTCCATCAGAGCAAATATAAATATGCTTAGTATAGTAGTTATACTATACTATATATACTATTCTAATTATACTAATCTTTTTTTATTTGAAAAGAAATGACGAGGATATATTTTATTAAAGGCATTTTATTTAATGAATTTTTCAGCATATATATTTTAATAATATAGGTACTTCTAATTATTCTGCTTCTCAGAGATATTTGTTAGAAAATTATATTTATAGACATGTTCTAGTTACATGCACATTTGGATTAATTCTATCTATATTTTCTAATGTACGTGTACGTATTTTAATAATATTAAATATATTAAAATATATATAATGCCCTCTAATATATATATAGCTTAGTCAGATAGTATATGAAAATAATCTATGGAATTTTCTTTTATGAAATTCAAAAAAATAAAAAGCACACACAGTGAAATATAATCAAAGAAAATATTTTTTTAAATATCGGTATCCATCAAAGGGATTTTTTATTAAGCTTCAGTAAAATACAAATACTATTTACATATTGGTCTCTAAGAGGATTATATTAAAGTGACTTTGTGTTTGCCAATAAATAATAACAACAAAATATCGATTATCAATATATTCGGGGAATAATTTTCAGAATAATCTTTTTGGATTCCATCGGCTGCTTTGCATAGAAAAATGGCGGGAATATTTTTGGCGGGAAAAAAAAATTGGCGCGAAAACAATAGAAAATATATATTGCGATAAAAACAAATATTTGTTTCAATTTCCTTTTAGTAAATAGAATTCAATTAATATCTAATATAATTGGTATCTATAAATATTATTTGAAAAGAATACAAATTTTGATTTAAGATATCATTGTAATAAACCAGTGTAAATTATCTGTTTTGTTATTATTGTCGTCAAAATATTATTGAATTAAAGAATACAATGTTATTATATATAAGATTGTTATTTTCCTTATTAAATTTCCACAATACATTATTCCTTTTCTACTAATGTTTCTCGATACTTATATAATTGCCTTTGGTGATCAGTCACAAAATCTGTTCGGGACGATAATTCGATAATTATTATAAAAAAGATAGAGAAAACCGGGTTCGAACCTGATACCTTTAGATCTTTAGTCTAACTGCACACCAAACTGAGCTATTTCTTTATTATTTCTTTAGATATATTTCAAATTATATAGAAGCAAATTTAGAAAAAGGCATCTCCTTATCGTGCAACTGAAAGTTGCTGATGGCTTGCGCCATCTATCGAAATAAATATCAACTATTCTCGTTGATTTTTAATTATTCCAGAATTAGCCAAATACCCATTCTTGATTAATCAAGAAAAGCTAACCACGGACGCGTTTCGGGCTGTTGGCCCTCATCAGCGTGGTGAAATCTGTACCTCAACGACCAAAAAAATATATATATTTGGCCAATTCTGGAATAATTAAAAATCAACGAGAATAGTTGATATTTATTCCGATAGATGGCGCAAGCCATCAGCAACTTTCAGTTGCACGATAAGGAGATGCCTTTTTCTAAATTTATGCACCTTATCCCAGTACAATATCACATTTGTACTATTTCTTCATAGCAACAAATATATTTTAAGAAACTGTTAATTTATTATGTTAATTGTAGATATATTGCCAGACATTCATTTTTATTTTGTACAAAGTTCTCTGTTCTCGTTTTTTCTCTCTTTCTCCTTGTTTATATCATATGGCTATTCTTTACGACCTACAATTATTGTAAAGACATACATGTATGACAGTGCAAGTGTCCCTAGGGGGACATAGCACTTTAAATGAAATAAATGAGCTATTTCGCACTATTCATGTCAATTCAATACTCAATATATGGTATTGAGGAACAAACCTCAAGACATCTACTGATCGATTGCCAAGCATTTCAAGATTATAGAATGAAGAATGAACTAGTTGTTTGTGAACTTAACGATTTGATTTCTGATAAAAAAATCATATTTAAAGTTCAATTCATTTTATAAATACATTCTAAACTTTCTAAAAAATCTGGATCTCTAATGTTTTCATGCGTTGAATAATGTAAATAACTTATGTAAATAAACTTTTCCCATTGTTTGGCGCAAGTATCCCTTGCGGGATATAGCGCTTTGGAAATAAAATAATTGTAATATAAATATTATTTCACCTTTTATGAATAAAAAATAATTGTCTTATTTTAAACAAATATGTGACGTATATATTATTTAGAAATATCTTATATATAATTGCTTTGGTAATCAGTTTCGCAGTCTAGTATTTTAATAAACTGAACTAGACAAGAGAGGTATAAAAAGAAGAGAAATTAATAATTCTATATTTTAATTATAAATGATAATTATTTTAAGAGTGGATTATTTCTGTAATAAAGTAAAATGATGTACTAACTATAAAATAACACACTAATATACAAGTAAATTTATTTTACAAATGAAAATTAAAAGGTAAAGAATCAAAATACGATGTACACCTTATTTCACGCCTCAAGAACTTTCTCTTCCGCAAATTTGAAATATACGCTAGCATTATATCAGCCCATTCACGCCAACTAAAATATATATTTTTTGGTAGTTTCGGCCGGTTTTATAACTTGCCGTAGGTTGATATTGTTGCATCATGGCTAATGAACCTATTTTATTTTAATTTGTAATATTATTTTTTATATATTTTAAATTCAAATTTATATTTTTTATTTATTCATTTTATTAAACAGAATATATGTATTATAGAATCATCATTTGTATTTAGATACACTGTGTGACTTCACTGCTCTCTTTGATGTGAGAAATAAATAAATTATTCTGGAGGTTACTTAAAGTAGAGTTATCTCATTATTCGCTTATATAAATTTGTAGGATGGTTGAAACACGCTCTGGTAAGATACAAGACTCGGCTCAGGAGAGAATCAAGGTAGAAGAGCCTGCCAAGCTGCAACCTGGTGCAACAATATGAAATAAAAGACTTCCCTGTATTGATGAGGACTAAAGCATGAAACAATGGTGACGAGGTTGACAGCTGTGCGTCTGAGTTTACCAAAACTGGTGTTATCATTCATTGCACTAGTCAGTGCGCCCTTTTTAGAGAATATCAAAGCTATGCAGTTTTTTAATGTCTTTATTAAAAGAGAGAATTGTCTTTATTGCGCTTATATACATATACACAAATATACAAACATTGACAAAACTTAAGGATGTTGTAACTTTTAACATGTATATCGAGATTCAGACAATAACTCTGAAAGATATTACAGTTACTTTTACTGAAGACACACGAGATAACCAATATACCAATGATTTCCCATACATGTAAGTTCGAACGTTCTATTTTAATAAATAGAATAAAATATAATAATAAACTAAAAATATATTTACATATTACAAGAGAAGGAATCGCCAGACATCATCTTGAAAAAGGAATCAAAGTTTTCGGCGACCATCCTTCTTCAATATATATATATATATATATTATAATAGAAAAAAAAGAAAGATTTTTCTGTTTGAATTTTGATAATTAGTTATATAGAATTAATACTTGATGCTGATTATTTTGAGGACTGAGATATTTGTTGAGCAGTCGTGGCAATGATTAAATAAAATCAGTTATCAAAATAGATTTAATTGAACTTATGGAATATATGAAAAACATGGTTTAATAAAAGTGCTGCCTGGTTTAAGGCGAATTGAATAAAGAAAATAAAAAATTATTTACATAATGTACAAAAGTTTTGAGCCTGCCATCGGGGAAGAACAACAACGAGTTTTTATAGGGGAAGCATGACCTCTGGCGGTCGATTTAACAGAGTATTTGGATCTATGAAATATAATTTTAAATAGAATAATATTTTAATAAAACATATATATATACATGCTAAAGGAACAAATTTCTTAAGTTCTGTCCATGAATGTAGGTAACCTGTTAGAATATACTTTATGCAACTTTCTTTAAGCCTAAATTAAAGTCCAAGAAAACTAAACTAAACCTAACTAATTGAAAAATATGAACACACAGTTATCGATTTTCCATTCTATTAAAAAAAAAGAAAAGAATAACCATAAAAGGCACAAACGATAAGATATAATTTCTCCCTTTAAAAAAAAAGCGTTATGATATTCATAAACTATTTCCCTTACCTATAAATCAGTTATATAGATGAAGATATGATTTCTTCCTTATTGGCGATATACATGGGGATAAAAAGGAAGGAGTTATAGAATCCATTCTGTCTGAATGAGGAGTATAGAAGGTTATCTTAATGGAAAGTCTCCTTCCATCTAATTGCTCCCTTCCACTGCACTTAACGGTTATTGAATTAGCCTTTAAAACCGTTTTTTTTATATAAACGAAAATTTTCTTTCTTTTTGAGAATTACCACTCATTACTGGTTTTCCCTCTAATCTCACGGTAATTTATTTGTATTTTAATAAAATGTTTTTATCAATTGTGATAAGGATGTTAGAAGGACAGAGTTTTCCCTCTTATCTGGACTGGACGGCGGTCAGAAATATATTTATTTACGGAGCTGCTAACCACAGAATGAATATTTTTTTAGTCCCGATGGAAGCATAAAGCGGAATATATACAAAGCACTGTTGGAGAGGCCTGGGGATGGGTGGCCAGGGGATCATCGCCAGGTGAGGCCAGGAGAGTCGGGATGTAGAGGAGAAAGTTTGCTCGGAAATATCTTTATTTAAGAGTTTTCTAACCAATGATTTTTGAGCCTCGATGGAAGCATAAAGCGGAATATATACAAAGCACTGTTGGAGGGGCCTGGGGATGGGTGGCCAGGGATCATCGCCGGGTGAAGGACCGACCGATCGGGGAAAACAGTGGCGCCACGTGGAAAAACTCAGTTCTCCCCTCTTGCTCTAACTGATGGGTCGATTTGGCTCATGTACATAGTAACCTTTATATATATATAAAAAAAGCAAATCATTGAGGGAAGAGTTTATTTTACATATATCGGCAATACAAGCTTTAGTGCTCAACAGCCCTTCGACAGGTATAACTACGCTTTGGTATATATATATATATTTTTTATAAACTCATGAAGGAGATGGATGCAATTTTGTTCACACTTGGTTAACTCGTATGTCTTCAATAAAGGTCACTGTAATATCTTTCAGAGTTATTGTCTAAATCCCGATATACATGCTGAAAGGTACAACTTCCTTAAGTTTTGTCCATGAGTGTATATTGGTTATCTCGTGTGTCTTCAATAAAGGTCACTGTAATATATTTCAGAGTTATTGTCTCAATCCCGATATACATGGTAAAAGGTACAACTTCCTTAAGTTTTGTCAATGAGTGTATTTTGGTTATCTCGTATGTCTTCAATAAAGGTCACTGTAATATCTTTCAGAGTTATTGTCTGAATCCCGATATACATGCTAAAAGGTACAACTTCCTTAAGTTTTGTCAATGAGTGTATTTTGGTTATCACGTGTGTCTTCAATAAAGGCCACTGTAATATCTTTCAGAGTTATTATCTGAATCCTGATATACATGGTAAAAGGTACAACTTCCTTAAGTTTTGTCCATGAGTGTATATTAGTTATCTCGTGTGTCTTCAATAAAGGCCACTGTAATATCTTTCAGAGTTATTATCTGAATCCTGATATACATGGTAAAAGGTACAACTTCCTTTTGCCAATGAATGTAGACCTGTGTGTTGAAGAACTACGGCTCGAAAGCTTGCCTTTTAAATGCATAACAAAGATACCTGTAAATAATTTTGAAACTAGAATAGGTCATTGTTTTTGCTATGAAGTAGATACAAAAATAGGCACATGGACTATAGATGAAAATATAGTATTTATTTGAAAAATAAAAATGAAAACCAACCAGAGTATAAATAAATTAATTCACATATATTGGAATTTCAAATTACATTTAATGAAAAAATAAATTACTTTATTCTCGGAATAATTTTAATAAATATATTTTCAAAAATCCAATATTTTCACGCCATATATACATATATATTAAAATGTTGAATATATCTCGTATGTGCATATTAGTAATTTAGATTATGCAAATCAATAAATCCACCCCGTTATATGGTAATAAAGAAAATATGTAATGGGAATTTCACCATGTGTTTTAAAGGAGGATATTCTGTGGAACAAAATCGTTTTAAATTC